GTCCCCGGCTTGTGCTTGGTCCCGCTGCAGGGAAGAGAAGAAAGGATGGGTCAGTCAGGCAGCCTGGCCACTGTCCCCACACCTCATGCCCTCCACCCCTGAGCCCAGGTGACACCACAGTAGTGTGGCTTGGGCCCACTCGGTTACCCCCTTTCCCCGAGTGTTGTAAGTTTGCATACAGGAGCGCCCCTGGAGTAGGGTCCTCCTCCATGTATTGTAACCACCGGTCTGTGTCCTGGCCCTGTGGAGGGTGGGAGGGTGCTTGTGTTGTGTTCACCTGTGGAACTCCTTGCCAGTGGAGGCTGTGAGGCTTTGGGCTAATCAATGGTGTTTGATAAATCCCCACATAGTGCCTGGGAGCACATCTGGCAGATGTGGTCTGGGCTCTCAGATCCCCATCGCGTGGGATATCTCCTGGATGGAACCAGAGTTGACTGGGGAGTGGACCATCCTTGCAGCAAAACTCAGGCGGCCCTAGAGCCGGCCTGAGCACTTCCTCCTCTCCTCCTCCCGTTAGCCCTCACACATGTAGCCCAGGGATATGTGTGGCTCCAGTGGGGACTTTCCTCGGGGAGCCAGCCAAGGCACCGGGAGCAGGCGAGGGGCTCAGTGGGGGCCACGCTCACAGGGCTGTGATGTTGTGGTTTTCCCACGAGCAACTGGCTGTGCCTCACAGCCAGTCATGGGACAGTGTGCCGTTCTGCGTGCTGCACCCTTGCGGAGGTGCGGGCTCTGGCCTGAGTCCCTGGGACTCTGGCTGGTTCCAGCCAGCATCCACCCTTTCCCTCCTGATGCTGCCAGATGTGTGTGAGCAGCACGGTCCCAGGCGTGCCCTGCAGCTGCCTGCCGTGGCCACATCCCACTCAGTCACCAGGCTGCATGTGGTTGCACGTGCTGCTTCCTACCTAAGGCTACACAGCATGCAGCTCACGCAGCCTGAGAGACATGCCGTCCCCCCTCCCCGCCCTTGTGAGTGCAAAGTGTAACACTCACCGGTGGATCCTTCCCCGGCCTCGGAGGATGTATGGGAGACATCAGGACTGCCGGAGGGGGCCTGCAGGATGGCAGTGCTGGCCTCGTCCTCTGACACACTGCTGTCCACCGGGACATCTGGTGCCTCTGGTGCTGGCTGGCACAGGATGGTGTGGAGCCGTTGGTAATGGGGGCAAGTGTCGGCTCCTGTGATGGGGGCAGGTGTCGGCTCCTGCCCCCTGGCCCTTGCTGGCCCGGATGTAGCCCAGGCGCAGTTCTTTTACCTTAGCCTGGACTTCCTCCAGGGTCTGGGCTGCATGGCCCTGCTGGGCCATGCGGGAAAAGAGCTCTGTGTTCCGGCACTGGGAGCGGGTGTCGTGCAGGGCCTCCTTCCCTTCCTGCCAGAGGTCCAGGAGGGCTTCCAGCTCCCCCGGGGCCAGGACGGGGCCCTTCTTTTTCTGGCCCTGGGGGCCTCCTGCGCTGGGGGTGCGGGTGGCTGATCCCCACCTGGAGCTGCCATCGTGCTTGGGGGGGTGTCTGCTGGAAGGCAGGGGCCACGTGGCAGAGCTGTGGCCAGAGGGCTCCTGCCTTGTGACCTCAGCAGCCTGCGTCTGCTTTAAGGAGGCTCGGGTTACCAGGAAGTCCGAGAGTTGATTGTGGCTACGGAGCCTCCGAGTGTCCACTCGGGGCTTTTTCCATTTAGCCTGCTTTTGCGCAAAACGTCTTAGCTGCCTGCCTACACTTGCCCTTTTGCGCAAAAACATTTCCACAACAGGGCTTTTTCCCGAACAGGAATGTCAAAGCATTTGTGCAAGAAGCACTGATTTCAGACAGTAGAACGTCAGTGCTTTTGCGCAAAATCAAGCAGCCGCTGGCAAGCCGCTTTTGTGCAAAATCTTGCCAGTCTAGATGTACCCCTTTGGTAAAACTTTTCAAAAAGCACTTACATGACTTTGGAGCCGAAGACCCATTTTCAAAAGTGGCACAGGCATTTAAAAGCTAAAATCCCCCTGATTTTCAATGAGACTCAGAAGCAGTGGTAGTCCATTGGGCCCCTAAGAAGAAATATTTCTCCCTCCCTACCTGACAACATATAACAAAAAGTGAATGGGGGCGCTCTTGAGCTGTTTGCAGTCCTATACAACTGCTTATGCCTAACACTGGATCTGATGCTAGTCTCTTTTGAAAATGGGACCTAGGCTGGTTAAGTCTCCTAGGCACTTCTGAAAATTTTAGCCCTCATCTGACCTTGTACATAATACTGAACATTACAATTTCACCTAGTAATTTCAGTATCAAACTCATAATTTCTAGCTGACAAACATTCAATCTAGGCCACCACATTCAAAAGTAGGGAAATGACAAGCTAATAGTTCACATACACTGTAAATGCTGCCCCCTTTTATGTCCGTGTACATTATACAATACAATCTTCATTCATATGATCACATTGTTAGGCCCTAGAAAAAATAAGGCCTAGTGCAGTTATGCTAAAGCAAATGTAACAAAGATTTCTGGGTAGTCCCTGGGCAGAACTGGAGATAGGTTCAAGCAGAGATGCACCCTACACGCACCCTACACGCTTGCTCAAGTTGGCAAAATGAGATAAGTAAGAAGCTGCATTTTTGTACCTGCTGTGATGAAGAACAGTTTGTTTTGAGAACTGATAAAGAGACTCCCTGTTTCTGCTCTCCCCCTGTTTGTTCCAAACTCCCTGTTTATGTTCTCCTTTGGCCATAACAAACTGTCTCCTTGTTGCCCAGTACCTGTCTTTTGGGCTGATAAGAAATTGCTGATGCATTATGAATTGCTTAAGGCCATGATGTATAGTTGGCCAGGTATGCATGGGAATTAGAGGTTTCTAACTGATAAAGGGGGGTTGGTTGCTTGGGCGAATAGTCTATGACGTGACGGAACTGTCTATATAAGCCTACCTGTAAATGAAATCGGGGCTGGTTCACTTTGGAGACGGGCCGCTCTCTATTGTAAGTGCGCACTATTCAATAAAGAGCTTGTGATTGGATCTTGCTGGTGTTGCCTGTCTCTTTGCAGTCAGACAACGAACAGAGGCCGTCTGGGTTCGAGTCCCCGACAATATTTTACTTGACAAATCATGCAGTATAGAATTTTAAGAGTTTTCCTAAAATTTTCAGGCCAAACCCTGCCATTTCTTGTCATGTTGACTGGGCAGGCAAATGAGGTAATTGCTGCATCTACTGTGAGAAGTAGCTTCTGTGCATCTCTAGATGTTAGAAATTAATTTGTGTCATGAGATCATTAACTGCAAAGAGACAGGAGGACTCTCAGTTCATCTGACTGACAAGGCACAGATTTAGGCCAGGGATAAAGAAAAGGCAGGAGAAGGATTATTATTCAGAATGCTCAAATGGAGACAAAAAAAAAGTTACAACTTGAAGCCGGGAAGAGGAAAATTCTAATTACATCTGTAGGAAAAAAATTCCTAAAGTGAGATGTATCAGACAATGGTGTAATCCAGCCTCAGAAAAACAGCCAAAGGACTATCAATATGAGCCCAGTGATGCACTCATGGTCAAATGGGAGTTTTGTCATTGATTTAACTGGAAGTAGGAGTAGGTATTATGGGCAAAATTGGAGCTTCATACCGAAAGCCAAATTCTGTGTGTGTGTGTGTGTGCGCGTGTGTGCGCGTGCATGCACGCGTGCAAGACCTGGAACAGTGAAAATACTGGATTTCAGCTTTGCAGAAAGGTCATATAAGGAGACTCCACACCCTCTCATGTACCGTGGTGTAGTTCTTCATGGCATCTCTCTCTTTAGAGTCAGAGAAATTTGAGGGAAGAGGAGGCTGGAAGAGTGAGTGGGGCAAGGCTACTGGATCCTCATCCTGTGGAAATTCCAGGGCCAAAACCATGCACTGAGGTAGGGTGCACAGGACATTGTGGTAAGTACAAATAGGCAATTCAGTTAGGTTTAGAATAGGAAACAGATGACTGTCTCACACCAGTACCAGTACAGTGGCCTAGAAGAATGCAAGGAAAACTTTACTGCACGATATTAGTGCAGAATGACAGCTTGTGGCCACATAGAAAAGGTGACCCTACATAACTAAACACATTTTGGTCCCAGAAATCATTCTCTCAGACAAGGCTCATATTTTTAAACTGTGGAAATGTGACTGTCCGCAATAAGGGCCCATGTTTTAGTCATACTTTCATAGTCACATTTCCGGGGGGTTGTTTCTCCACTGGCGTTTTCCTCCCCACTGGAGTGGTACTGCGACTCTTAGGGTTACCTCGCAATGGCCTTTCTTCCAGGTTAGCCACAGATGATGTCCCTCTCAAAATAGCTTCAGAAACCTAATGGAGAATTTATGATAAAAAAAACCAATGATTTATCTTTCGCTTGTAACAGAACCAGTCACTTCATTTTGTATCTGGTGAAAAAACCCAACCAACCCTTCGCCTTTTCTGAGGTAACAGGGAAGTATAACCTAATTACACAGGTAGCTCCTATTCAGCCAGCTTGGCCACACAGGGTGTGTGTGGAGGACCAGGTTGCACCGATTTCCCCATAAGCAAAGAGATTAACACCAAATGGAACTCCCTCATGATTAGGTGCCCAGCGCTGGAAAATTTAATGCTGTGGTTCTCAACTGGTGGTCCATGGTGACTTTTTCGGTGGTCCACAGGAGAATTGTCCAAAGTCACACAGCATGGGCAGGCACCAAAAATCTGTTAGTAAAAAATAAATTTCAAACCAAAATGTTCGTTGTCTACTCTTTTTTATCATCTCTCAAAAAGGAGGTGGTTCACGAAAATGTTTTGATTGCCCTGGTGGTCCGTGGACTGAAATGAGTTGAGAACCACTGACTTAATGGCTCTGAATGGGAGATAAACCAGAATCATCCTACGTTTATACACAAAGAACTAGATTCCACATCTGGCTGAATTATGTTCCTCTGAGCCTGGAGCTAGCCAGGGACAGGATGGTGCCCAGCATAAGTTACAGCAGCCTCAGGGTCATGTTCCATACTATGCCTCTATGGAATACAGGGATAAGTTTGAATTAAGATATGCAACTCCAGCTATGTTAATTGCATAGCTGGAGTCAATGTACCTTTATTTGGACTTTGTCACCATCACAACAACAGGAGGTTGATGGGAGAAACGCTCTGACCCACTTCCCTTACTCCTCGCGAGAAGTAGGAGTACCAGTGCCAACCGGAGCACCTTCAGCATTTGATTTTGTGGGTCCTTACTAGATCCACTAATTCAAATGCCAGAAGATTGATCTCTGAAGTATCAATCCGCAGGTAAATACAGATGTGGCCTTAAATACTGGAGCCCCAAGCTTTACGGTTCTTTTGCACCACCAGAGAAGGCCAAAGCAGAGGCCAGAATCTAGATCAAAATGTCTGGTCTATTTGGCCTTCCCTAACTCTTGCTTTGATTGTGACTGTTGCACAGTTTTCTGCCAATGATTCCAGGAATCTTGTAAAGAAGGACTTAGTTGTTGTCATTTACAAAGGGAAGGATGGCCCATTGGTTAGGGTACTAGTCTAGGACTATTATTTTCCTGAGAACAATTGTCTAAGAGGGAGAGAGAGTATGCACTTGCATTCCTGATTCTGAAGAAATCTTAAAACTTTGAATTGCTCTGTCATTAGTACACCAGAAATTTCTATTGTTTAATCACACAGAAAATACATCCTTCAGTACCGGAGTTTCTGATTTTCTGCTTATGAAATCCACAGCTCCAGGATTTTTTTCTGCTTTCAGCCTCTGGTGCTCTGAAACTCTGAGCTCCTCTTGAAGCTCTAGGTTCTGTTTGGTCAGAATCTCAATTTGACTTTTTAGCTTGCCATGGGCAGCGTGCCAGTGGGACTCATTTCTCCTGAAATCCTCCTGGAGCCTTGCAATCTGCTGTTTTAACATCTGTTATTAGAGAAAGGCATATAACATCAATGCACCATTCCAGATGAGGAAAGCACATCTTATGCAAGCAGAAAGACACCTGAAATCTGTTGTTTTGCCTAGAGCGTTACTGAAACTTTTCATTGTGACATAAACACACACAAAACAAAATCACACAAGATCTACCAAAATACATAGCAATAAACAGAGCAAAATAAAAACCCATGCTGGAGAAGAGCCAAAGAAAGGGGCTAAGAAAAAGGAGTAGCTACAATATTTAAGGTTTACTGAAAGCATCTGCAGTACTAAGATATTCAGCCACAAAGGGCTGATTTTCAGAATTGCTGAACATCCAGCACAAATGAATTCAATGGTTGCAGGTGATCAATACCTTTCAAAAACGAGGCCCCAAACATTCCAATCATCAAGAAGCATCTTACTGTGTTTGCATTAAAAAAAAAAAAAAAAAGAGAAAGAGAGATTTTTTTTAAATGGCTTGGACAGATGGAACAATCTGACTGATTCAGGTTCTCCATAAGCCCAGAACACCTACCACTCTCAATGACAGCAATGATGACAAATCAAGCCTGTATGTCTGTCTAAAATGCATGCTGTAGCTCAGGTTGACCTCCTGCATATGAAAGGCTATAGAACCTCACCTCGTAATCTCTGTATGAAGCCCAAGTTTGGGCTTCATACAGAGATTACTAAGTGAGGTGCTGTGGCCTCTGGTGTGCAGGTCAGCCTAAATCAGTAGTTCTCAAACTTTTGTACTGGTGATCCCTTTCACAGAGCAAGCCCCTGAGTGCAGTGCCCCTGCTAGAAATTAAAAACACTTTTTAATATATTCAACACCATTTAAAATGCTGGAGGCAAAGCAGGGTTTGGAGTGCAGGCTGACAGTTTGCAATCCCCCATGTAGTAACCTCATGACCTGTGGAGTCTCAACCCCCTGTTTGAGAACCTCTGGCCTAAATGATCATAATGGTCCCTTCTGGTCTTAAAATAAAAACTCACAACTCTGACCACATGGTCAAGCCACCTTGGAAATACATTTAAACTCATGTCTCCTTAGACATGCCTTGACCCTTTATTAATTCTACACTGCACCTTTCAAAAGAAAGAAGAGGATGTGCAGAAGTCTTGAGCCTTTTGTCTGCTCAGGGAGAACTATACACAATGCTGAACTGTAATCTGTCATTTTTGCTTGCATTAAGTGGCTTTGCAATCATTCTTTGATAAGTGTATTTCAAAACAAATTGAACTGTACATTACTAATCCTTGTCCTTTGCGAACAAAACCCTGCAAACCCCAACCTTCAACACTTGCAATGAGGTTTACAGGCGCGGTCGGAAAAGGCTTTCCTTGTCGACCGATCTCCGTCTAGACTGCCGCTTTTTGCTGGCAAAGTGCAGCATCAGCAAAAAGCAGTGGCCATTTCTATTCAAATGAAGCGCAGAATATTTAAATCCCCGCTTCATTTGCAATAGCGATGTGCTTAATTGACATCCATCTGTCGGCAGAGGGGTGTAGTTTAGACACACCCACTAACTGTGATTTGCCTATTGATCTGCCACATGTGGGACATGCCCCCAAACTGAGATGGACACAAGAAAGCTATTTATTTATATGATACTAATGCTACCATCATTATGGCACCGGGGCACTTGATGTACATTGACAAGCTTGATCCTGCAAAAGGGCAGTGATGTATTGTTGCTTGTATAAAAGAACGTAAAAATTGATAAGCAGACAGCAGGGGAGTCTGATCTTGCAAGAATGAGTGACACTCTGTGCTCACTACACTACTAATGCTCACTACATTACTAATGCAACGTGACTTAATCTTGCATGCTGTGGTGTTGTGCCCATTTTGATCCCAGGATATTAGAGAGACAAGATGGGGGAGGTAAAATCTATTATAGAGAAGTTGGACAATCTTGAGAAGTTGGTACAATAAAAGATATTACCTCACTCACCTCGTGTCTCTTAACGCTGCACAGCTTTGCAATGAAAAAATTAGGACTATGTAATATAAAATATAGCCTCTATTAAGTGGATTCAAAACTGATTCATTGACAGATCTCAAAAAGTAATTGTAAATGAGGTCCATCATCCAGTAAGTGTTTGTAGTGGCTTCCAACTGGGATTTGTTCTTGGCCCAGTGCTAGCCAATATTTTTATAAAAGCATTGCTGGTAAAATGACACCAAAATGACACCAAAGAATGATGGGAATGGGTCAGTTATAATGAATGATTTTAACATACTGAGCTCATTTGAATCACATGCATTTTAACTGCAAAGTCAAAGTCATACTTCCAAGATAATGGACTGTGTCCTGGAATGCACTGGCAAAGAAAAGGACTTGGTAGATAACCAGTTGAACATCCAATTCCAGTGCAGTGCTGTAGCTAAAAGGGCAAGCCTGATTCTTGGGTGTATAAGAAGGGGGCTATTAAGTAAGAATAGGCAGCTGGTATTAATCTCTGCATATGGACTGGTAAGAGCATTACTGAAATGCTGTGTCCAGTTTTGGACTCCACATTTCAAAAAGGATATAAAAAATTTGAAAAGGATTCAGAAAACATCCACAAAAATGATTGGTGATCTGGAAATCATGTGTTATGTGCTCAGTTTATTTAGTACATCCAAGAGGAATTTAGAGGTTAATTGATTACAGTCTACAAGTACTTATATATGCAAGTAAATTCTAAATCTATCAGAGAAAGGCATAATGTTATCCAGTGGCTGGAAACAGAAGCTAGACCAATTCAGACTAGAAATAAGTTGTAGATTTTTAACAGGGAGAGTAATTAACTGTCGGAACAATTTGTGTAAAAGCATGGTGGATTTCTAGTATTTGAGCAACAATTATATCCATTCTGGGATGGACTACAAACTGATCTGTAAAATCACATTTTCTTTCTCCTTCCTTGTACACTGCTTACTTGTATTTCTTCTGATTTCACTTCCTCCCTACTGATTCTAGCTGCTGTTGCATGCTTCTTAAGTTCAACCTTTTCTTTCTGCGGTGTGTGAATGTGGTCTCTCCTATATTCTTCCAAGTGATTGAGGTCTTGAGCCTTGTTGGTTTGAAACTGATCCATTCGTGTTCTGTGGAAAAGTTAAATTGGGGATTATGAAGCTGATTTTAAAAATGTAAGTTGAATCCTGTCTTTGGACGTGTATGCAGGATTCCCAAACACAGGGCCTGATTTTCGGAGGTCTCAGGCATTCATGGCAGACACTAAAGTCAAGGGGAGCTATAAGTATTAAACAGCTCAGAAAAAAATCGAGAGTCTCAAGTGTATGTTTGAAGGCAGAATTTTTTCCCTTGAGCAGATGGAAGACAACTCCCGTTGTGTTTTAAAGGTTTCAAACACATTTTCTGAACACATTAAGGGATAAATTATGGCAGTCAGTGGTGAGCCATGGCATTTTTAGTAAGGCATGCAATAGTTCCATTCAAAATTTGAATGCCTTAAGGAGTCCAAACTTTTGAGTGATGTTGCACAAAATGGAATCCTACCTGCAAATGATCTCATGACACAAATCAATTCTAACATTAGAGCACACCAAATAGAATCATCCTACAGCCCAAATCTGTGGCCACAAGTTGAATTATGTTTTTTTTTCTCTTTAATTCTAGAACAAGCAATGTATGTGTTGCATAAATAAATGGCACACCTACTGATTGCAACCCAGATCAGTTGTGCTTGAGGAGAGAGAGGGCACAGGTAGCTCCTTCCCCACAACACACCCATGCAGGGGGCAGCATTGGAGGCTGCACTTTCAGAAGCCCTAGCTGCCCCAGAGTGAGACTGGCCATAGACCTTACACACCAGTTAGTGGCTGTTGAACTGATGGCAATGCTTCAAATCCAAGTGCTCAATGTGCAATCTTGGCTCCTAGGAGACATTTTGTTTTCCAATCTTAAGGTCTCTAGAAGCCAGTGTACAGGCAGCGTGTGTTTTCCCCCACTGGTGCTCAAGTCCATAACAAAGTCCATAACAAAGCCCAGAATGCAGCATATTTGTATGAACTGAAATAAGTGTCTGGCTCAAACACTTACCCCATTTTGGAATATATTACATCATTCATTAGCCTCCTAGACAGGCACACGATGAGGCAGCAGTGAGGTGGTCAAAAGCATTCGCCCCACTAAATGGCCCTGTCAATGCAGAGTGTTATCTAATGTACAAAACTGACACTGACCTTAAGAGACTCATAGGCCTCCTCCTCTTGCTGCCTTAAGGAAGGTGCCACTGCAGGAGAGATCTTTACAGTTTATTCATTTGGGTTTAATTTATTGGCTGCTTTTTTAAAAAAATGAGCCCTTCCAGTATTCTGGACCATGAACATTGAAAGTCAAAAACATCCCCAATAGCCAATTAACTCCTCACCCAACATTTATTGGGAGTAATAAACACAACAGCCCTGCTAATGCCCATCCTATTCTTGCCCATTAAGAGAATAGAAATGTTACCCAGAAAGTTGACAAACTTGGACCACAGCAGGAAACAATTTCTAAAGCAGAGTGTCTTTCCCAGCAAATGCTCTACTTTTATGGCTAGACCAAAAAGCTATGGGTTGCGGCATCTCAGCTGACCTCATCTATTGCAGAACCACCCAAAGAGACCAGAAGTGTTTCAGTTAGGGTTGAACCGAACCGGTTAGGGGCCTTATACAATAGATAAAAACCAAAGCCCTTGAATTGCACACGAGAGGGTATGTCTACATTACAGAGGTTTTTCTGAAAAAACTTAGGTTATGTCCACACTGCAATCGCATTATTTCGAAAAAAAATTGAAAGAACAAAGGGGGTTTTCCGACATTGAAGAAGAAGAAGAAGCCTTTTTCCGAAAGAGTTCTTTCACAAAAAGGCGTGTGTGGACAGGGAAGAGGGAGTTCTTTCGAAAGAAGAGGAAAGAGGAAAAAAGTACAGGTGTCCTGGTGCCCACTCTGTCCATAGTAATCACAGATTAAATGTGAGATAACATCCATTCAGTGTGAATGCTATCTTTTGAAAAAGCAGATCGCTTTTTCAATGTGCTTTGGCAGTGTGGACGTGCTCTTTCAGAAGAAAAATTTTTGGAAGCTCTCTTCTGGGAAAGTTTCTTCCAAAAGAAGCCTGCAATCTAGACATAGACTAAGTGAAATGGCAGACAGTGAACATCACAGGTGTAAAATACTCCTGGCAGAAAACACTGCCTACAAAGCAGGCTTCCATGTTTCATGCACACTGAAATTCTCATAAGGTCTTCAGCTGTCATCCTATTTAGAGCACATTGCAAAGATCCAATTATGAGCTGACAAAGATCCTGGTGATGGAAGTAAAGTACACAGTCAAGAGAAATTCTTCTAGCTAATTGGAGTGGGGAAGTACCCATGATTGCTGTTGCTACCTGGACATCCAGAAACTGCTCCAACAAGAACGGCAGGTTATATGTCACAAACGGCAGTCAAATTCCCCAGAAATAATCTTCATAAATCTCCTGACAGCTTCTTCCAGCCAACAACAATTTCTTCAGTCCAGTCTGGGAGGAGTCTCAGCCTATTAGCTCTCATCCCACCCCAGTCTCTGCTAGGCACTGGGTATATGCAAAATTACAGCATTTTCATCCTACACTTCTCATGCTTGAAGAAGCCTAACAAAAATATGTTTGTAAACCAGAGAATGGAGAGGAGCCTGGGCAGGTCCAGGCATGCCAACCAGGCTCTTACTGCTTCCACCAGCTAAAAAAGGCATCAAGGCATAACTGAAGAGCTATATCACTGTGGTTACCACCTAGGCTCCTGATGTGCTCATTAGTTTAAAAATGCAGAGCTAGATCCTGTGCTGGGGTAAATCAGTGTGAGGTCATTGATGTCAGTGGAGCTTAGGGAATTTATCCCAGCAGAGAATCTAGGCCACAAAGTGCAAAGAGGAAATTAAAAGGTCTACAATGCACCCCATCTATGGATTTGTGGATGCACACTTGTGTGAAAATGCTAGAGACTACACCAACTCCACCAAGAGACTGTAAACAGCACTCTTTTTGTTAGATGCCAAAGCACTATGCTCAATAAGAGACACCCACTAGAGGGCATTACAGTATCTATCTACAGGAGCAGAGTACAGTTCTGTCAGGAAACGTACTGCCATTAACTCTGCCTGAGAAAGACACTTAGCAGCTGAAGTTAATACCAGTAAGTACCACTCAGGAAAAGTGCAGCCTAATTTCTAGTCACTTCTCCCCGACCTCCCCACTTGCTGCCTCTTTCCATGAGGTGGAGGGACATGGGAGGCAGCAGAGACAGAGGCACAGTGGGGGACTGGACTCGAGCTGGGTGCCCAGTCCCAGACACTGCGCCTCTGCTTTTTAAATGCAGCAAGAGCCTCCAGGGTCTTATTAAGTTTAAAAGGCAGAGCCACCGTGGGATTAGCTCCTGGGGCCAGGAGATAAGCCCACTGAGGCTCTGCAGTTTCCCCCTTATCGACTAATCAATTAGCTGATGAATGGAAATTCCATCGACTACTCAATTAGCTGATTAAACACAATTTAACGTCCTTAGAAAAGACCTGATCCAAAGTGCTTTGAAATTAATGGGAGTGAACACAAAATTGTAAATATAAGATTTGCGTGAGACACGTTCAGTTTGCAATATATATTCAATTTTCTTTTCAAGGAATGCAAAAACATCTAAATCAAGAAATTACTCTTATTTTACATAAGAAAAAAATTCCCATACCAAGTAAAAAAATAGAGACCATAATAATACCAAAACAGGATTTAAAAACCTAGCTTTAGGAATCCAAGGCTGAGGCTATGTCTAGACTACGTGTTATTTTTGAAAGTGAAAGTAGTCTAGACGTGTTTTTTTTTTTGTTAAAAAAAGCCCTTTTTCGAAAAACCACTCTTCCTTAAAAAATGAGGTTTATGTGGGTTTTCGAAAAAGGGGGGGGTTCGAGGTTTATGTGGTTTTTCGAAAAAGGGGGGGGTTTCGAAAGAACAGCATCCAGACTACTTTCACTTTTGAAAGATACACTTTCAAAAGTGAGATTGGAAGAAGATATCCATGGGAATTTGCATATCCTCTTTTGAAAATAAAGCATAGTTTAGATGTACCCTGAAAATATTGACCCTAGTATGTGGTGAACTAGTTACGTTTTGCGTACCCTGGAACGATTTACTTACCTGAGAAAATGTCTTGCTTTTTCTTGTTCTTCTTTCATTCTTGTAAGCAGAGGCGCTTCATGATGATACATGCCAACCTCCTTCTCCATTTCCTCTAACTGGTCAGTAAGCCTTCTCTGAACTGCTTCTATGAAGGCAACCATATTATTACATATAACTTACTGGGTATTCATGGAAATAGTCTACATATTTAACTATAGTAGAATTGCACAGACAAGGAAAACGTAAGTTTATCTGCTATATCCATCAACAGACATTAACATCTTGTGGATCAATCCTGCAACTATTCACTGCGACATAATGCTTACTAGTGCGAATCAAGCACTATAACTGATAGTACCTCTAATAAACTGGGGGCTATTTATGTCTGGACCAAGACACAAATTCCATTTTGGGTTTTGTAAATGCCATGCTGACAATTAACCTCTATTTTGAATGAAACTTTTGAAGTGGCTTTGAGTAACCATGTTGTAGCAGGAACTTGACAGTGAAGAGTCTTTGTCTGAGGTGTAACAGAGTAATCAAGGGCCATCAACACTGAATGACTCTACTCTAATGGAACAATTTATTATTAACAAATAATAACAGTAACAATAACGTTTGCAGCTTCTCTACCAGCAGGATCGCTGACATTGAACGACTGACTGCCCAGACATTCCTTGTATAAGAAATTCCTTCACTAAGCCTGTGTTTCCTTGCTTTCCTGCCATGTTGTCCTCAAAATGTATAACTAGAAAAACCAGAGCCCCCACAGTCAAGCAGCAATGGGCTCAGGAGGGCTGAGGCACTAGTTCTTGGATCTAAGCAATCAGACTGTGTGGGGTCCCACTGTCCAAGAAGAGAGTCAAACATGAGATCTGCAACTGGGAACATGCCTGGTTTAGGAACAGTGACCAGACACTACTCCTATCCAGATCCCAGTATGTGGATCCAATCACAACAGAACAGATGCCATCCAGAGAGCGGGACCAGACCAGATTGTCACAGGAAGGGTTTTCAGGAGCAGACTCTTGGTCACTGTAAATCCAACTGGATCTCACTCCCATTAAGTGCAATGTGCTGCACCACAAAATGTCTACTTCAGAACAGAGGAGCTTCTTAGAACTTTCACTTGGACAACAAACCAACCCAGAGGGGAAAGGTGGCTGAACCTGGCAGAAACATAGTCATGTTAGTTGTAATAGTAACGTTCACTCAGCCCCAGCAAATACATAACTAAACTGCATGGGCATGTAGTATTTTTATAATTTTAGGAATTGCAACCCTGGCCTTTCAATGAACCAGAAACCACATGCCAGGGGTTTTTTTCCCCACTGGAGTTCCTTGTTGCTATAAAGGGAAACAGAAAAATCCCCCCTCAAAACCCACTTCCTCTGCAAGATTCTCTCCACAATAAGAAGAAAAGTAAGAGGATCAAATAAAATATAAGATTAAATCAGGTTTGTGAGGTAACTCCCCCCTCTGGGTCTTCCAATGCCTCCTGCTTTTTCTGATGGGACAAATGTCTCTTATACTGTAAACTCTTCAGGGCAGAGGCCATCTCCATGTTTGTGTCTCAAACAATGCCACACACTTTGCCTGTGCCTAATATCAACACTATTTAATTACAAAATGAGAGATTGGCATCTGAGCACATGACCAGGAACCTGGATATAGCAGACTGTAATTTCACTTACAATTCACCAGAGATGAATTTGACCCTCTCATTTTTATAATCCCACATCTAAAATCATCTTCCATTCTGGCCTTGCACACATTACTTAAACTCTGTGTTTCTCCATCCTTAAAATGGCAGTAACTCCACTGCGGTACTAACTCTGGATGGTGAGAGGATAAATTAACAATTTGTAAAGTGCTGTGAAGATGCAAAGGATAATGAGGGTTAAGCAACCACACCTACACAGCCACACAGAAACAGTATTCAATTATATACAATGAGCAATGAGTGGGCTCAGTCCAGCTCCTAGTGCAGTTGCCCTCGCCATGAAACCAGTTAAAAGTAGCCTTGACTGACACCTTTGTTGGCAGTCTCTGCAAAGAGGCCATGACTGAAATGGGCATATAGACTGAACTATTCCCTCAGCCCTAGCAGGATCCTGGTTTTTCTAGGTAAGGACTTAGGAATGTTGGCACAGTGGTGAGCATGGCATGGGATGGTGCATACACCTGTGGAGCATGTGTAGAATCATTATAAATCAAGAAAAAAGATCAACTCGTATTGACATACAACTTCTTTAAGTTTTGCTTAGCCCTTACCTAGAGTACCCACAACCAGTTTTCCTTGTGCCTGCTCTTCTGCAAGGGTTTCTTTAATTTTGAATGCAGGGAATGAGGGTAATGACTGCAGATCTAAATTTTTAACATCCCCAACATTACTCTTCTCACTTTTTGTCTTGAGCTCTCTTTCATCTTTCACAGATCTTGGGTGCCGAAAAGGAGCCTTTCGAAGAGAAGAGCAAGCCTTATTTACTTTCAGCTTGGCTACTCCATTGCCAGACTCACTGCTGCTTGTGCTGAGGAAAAGATCCTGCTTGCCTTTTATCTCTGGAGCCCCCAGGTTCTTTGGAAGTGGCTTGATGTGCTTTCTTGGGGCCAGATCTTCTGCTCCACTGGGCTCATCGCTAGCATAATCAGCATCAGAGAGATCCAAATTTTTGTCTGTGCAACCTACTCCCTGAGGCATGTGCATTGTGGGATTCTTAGTGCAATGAGATTTGGGGTCATCCTCACTGTCCGTGGATGTGCAACCTGACCCACTGGACAAAAGTTGAGCATTCCACCAGTTGGCATTACTTCTACTGCTTTGCCACTCTTGCTGGTGGCAGGAAGAAGTGACGCCCTTTTTTCTGTCCATGCCTTGAGTTGATTTGTGGGTAACTTTCATTATTCTGTCATTGACCATCTTAAATCCAGTGGTGGTTCCTCCTAAGCTCTCTGGGCCTTTGCTCACAGTGTAATCTTCACCGGGATAACTGCTAATTCCTTCCATGCTTGATGTGAAGTTGAGGCCTGTGCTCCAGTCCATCTGCTTGGTTTGGCTTCCTTCTAAATTCTGAAGCTTAGAGCCTTCTTGAAGGATTTCCAAGGGCTTTTCTGCTGTCTGAGTTAGATTGCCCTTCAGAAGCTGCTCCACAATATCTAGGTCCTTTTGAACTATAGATTCCATAGAACTTTTGTCTGCTCTGTCTGTTTGTCTTAGAGAATCAGGACATTGAGTTGTATTTTTCTCACCTACTTGTAGCTTCATTTCAGTCATCTGTTGCTGACACTGCTGCAGGAGTTCAGCCCAATTCATCTTCAGTGATACAGCAGGATCCTCTTTTGCACCCTCTACTCTGCCACCTCCTTCTCTTCTTTCTGATGGGCATTGCTCAGGATCGCTTGTCTTACTGTCAACCTGAGCCTTTATTTCACTCATGGACATGATGCAATCTGTATTCTTCTCACTAGAGACCAGAACTGTGGGGCTGCTGGCCCGCCTATTTAAACTATTTAAATGTTTCCCCAGCTGTGATTTTCCTGCATCCTGCTGGCAGGGCCAAGAGAAGAGATTCTGGCAATCAAAACTAACTCTTCTGGGATGTTTGGTTTGTTCTTTCACAAGGTTCTCTTTATTTTTTTCAAGTCTTGCAATGCCTTCTCCACGTTTCAGGAAAGATTTCCGAGGAGTCACTTTAGCCTCACAGAAGTTCTGCAAACAACAAAAACTATATTTAAAATATGATACATTGCTCAAAAATGGAAAGAAAAATCAAATCCCTTTAGGCAGAAGCCATAATAATGAAAACAGTTTCTTTGTTGTATGCCACATTTTTCTAATTTCCTTCATATCAAAACTTTTTAAACACACACAGTGCTAATTTTCCAGCATTTATATTGTCGAAGTCACACGGAACCAAATAAATTCCCATAGGGAGGAAAACTGGACCAAGATAATGTTCAGTGTTATGTTAGTTCAGGGATCAGCAACCTTTTCAAACCAAAAAGCCAAACTACATCAAAATTCAGAACACGTGGTCAGCAAAGAGCTTCTATAAAAATGCTCATATTTACTTAATATTATTGATAATTGACATGATAATTAATAATAGTATAAATTAAGCACTGTACTCAACAAATTTATTTAATGGGATTTCTGCTGCTGCATGTTTTCTCACATTTCTTTACGTGTACATCATAACTGGTCAAAATCAGCTTCATGCACATATTCAGGCTGTCTTCTGTCAGTCTTGAGTGCAAATAACTTTTGATGTGATTCCAATGAGAGAAAGACTGCTCACACATATAGGTGGAGCTAAACAATGAAAGTAAGGCCAAGCTGTCATTCTGCATGGTGTTGTATGTGACAGGAAGTTTGCAGAATCATCATGTTCCAATTTCTTCATGTCAGTCTATCTGTGCAAATTTGCCAATTCTGCACATTGTCAAGCAAGGCATTCTAAATCAGAATTCATCTTGAAGAGTTTTTCCACCCAGCTATCCAATGCCTTGAAATCTGCAATTTCCATTTCCAAATCGCTGACTGAGATGCCTGGAATGACTGTCAAATCCAGTTCTTCAATGGATGCTTTATGTGGATGAATCACAAACTTAAACAGAGCACTGTGTTTGCAAAAGTCAACAAAACGAGACTTGAATGCCATCAGGAGCTCAGAAACAAATCTGGCAAGCTGCTTCAAATTGAAGCTATTACTTGGATTCTCTCTCTGATACGAATCACAAAACATTGGCAGATTTTGAAAAATTGTGAATCTGCACATCTCGATATTTTTTATGAAAACAGTGAATTTTGACTCAAATCCAAACGCTGCCTGCTGTAGAGTCAGGACTGTAGTGCCTTGCCCTTATAGCTTAAGGTTCAACTTGTTCAAATGACCAGTAATATATATGAGATGGTAAAACTTGAGCAACCAGTCACAGTCTGAAAGCTTGGGGTGTTCGACACCCTGGATATCCAAAAATGACTTAATTTCGTTAATGGAGGCAGCAAAATGAGACAAAGCTTTACCATGAGATAAACAGTGAGCACTGCTGTGCATTATTAGATCGGGGTATTTGGAATTCACTTCCTCGAGAAGTGACTGAAACTGATGGTGATTAAGTGCTCGGGCAAGAATCCAATTGATAATGCTAACAACCAGTCCCATTACTTTTTCGAGTTTGGTTCCACAAGATTGTGCACAAAGTGCCTCCTGATGCACAATACAATAAAAGTACAAAAGCAGTCAGTTCAGCTGTTCTGACAAAAGAATAAGGAATCCCCTGTATTTGCCGACCACGTGAGGTGCACCGTCTGTATGCACAGATAAAAGATTATCCAACTGTATTTCTTTCTTTTTTACAAAGTTCATCACAGTTTTAAGAATGTCTTCTTTTCTTGTTCGATTTTTTATTGGTTCTCTCTCAATCATTTCTTCATGCACAGCATTTCCACAAATATATTGTCCCAGAATACACAACTGATTAACGTTGCATATTTTGGTTGTCTCGTCCAAAGCTAACAAAAAAAGTAGCTGTACTCAAATTTTGTATTTGTTCCTTGTCAGTTTGACGGGCCATTTTCATAGCTCTGTCATGAACTGTTTTTGCTGATAATGGCATGTCTTGAATTTTCTGTAAGATTTTGTCCTTGTTGTGAAATGCATCAAATAATTCGTGACCAATTTTTAGCATGCATCTCTCCACATAATCCCCATCAGTGAAAGGCTTTCCCTCTTGAATAATGCTGTATGATCCTGCAAAACGTGCAGATTTTAAGGCATGCCAGCAAGTTATTTTGCCCAATGTTCATTTTTTATTGCAGCTCCTTGTAGGCTTTTTTTTGTGTGCCAACCTTGGGGTTTTGTCATGAAATCCCATTCTAAATTTGATTTTTTTGTTTGAGGACAGTCTCATACTACAAATGAGACCGTGTAAAGATCCAGACCTATCGACAAATGCACACACAAGTCTGTCCGCTCATTTTGAAAATATCAGTACTCATCGTCTCTCTTTTTCTTCACCATTTTTACTATTGGGGGCCACACAGTTTCCCATCACGTATGATGATGGAAAGATTTCTCAACCAATCAAATAAAAAGAGAATATGCACTAACCCCAATGCGTGGAGAGGATGGATGGTTATTAAAATGAACAGTTAAAGGTGAAACAGACTAAAAAAGACCATCGTGAAATGTGTAATTTTGCATTTTTTAAATTTTGAATTAACTTTTCATTCTACTTTAAAGAATTGTGTGTATTTTGGGAATACAAAAGAGCCATATTTGGTTCTGTTCTGAGCCATATTTGGCTCTAGAGCCATGGGTTGCAAACCCGTGTTTGTTAATCACTTTTTAGAAAGTCTAAAAAACCCTTCTAGAGTGTTTGGCTAGCATAGGATAAAACTTACTTCTGAAATACCCAGACATTCCTTTACAAACCTGTTAATTCAGTCCTTGTGCAGAGCTATCTTAGAATTTTTATTTACATGTGTCCAAACTATTGTCCTAGTTCCACTTTCATACATCATTGTCCTTATCCATGAGCCATCAAGTTTCTAAAATACCCTTAATGGTCCTCACTTAGCATGTCTATATTAGTAAAACAGGTTTGTATTTCATATTTCTAACTTCACATACAGTAATAATATGTGCACATAAACCGAAATACACATTCAGCAGATTACAACTTTTCTAATGATACCTTACATTAAATATTTTGCATAGAATATTTCTTAGTCATGCATATTCATATCTGTGACAGGGCATCTGCCCTACACTGGCCCTTTAAGGGTTAAAACTCAGCCCAAGGAGAGGGCTGGAATGATGAAGCTATGGAGCCAGCAGCTGTGGCCGGTATGAGCCAATTAGGGCCCAGCTGAGGGCAGTATAAAGAAAGGCTCCTGGAGGGGTAGAGACAGGCTCAGTCTTGCTGTGGAGCAGGAGGGATCTAGCAAACAAGGAAGTAAGAGGCTTCCTGACTTAGAGCAGGGGTGAGGGAAAGGTAGGCAGAGCTGGGGAAGCTATGGCCAGGCAAGTTTCCAGGCTGCAGGGCCTGAAGCAAGACCTGGGGCTACTAGGGCTGCAGAGAAGCAGCCAGGATAGGCAAAGGCAGCAGGCGCCCCCTTGCTGATGATGAGTGCCCATTTCAGACTGCAGTTTGCCCCTGAGGGTTCCCAGAGCGAGAGGACATGAGGGCACTGTGGTAGGGCAATATCCAAGAGGGAAGGGTGCCACAGTCTAGGAGGGATGTGGGTCCTAATACACAGCAGTTCAGAAAAAAACAGGTAACAGCAGGCGAGACACCCGCTGAAATGGGGTGCTCCAGAGCAGAAGAGCTCATTCCCAAAGCTACTGGCAGGAGGTGCCATGGGGGTAAGCCTCGACCATGTTACAATATCCATAAGCATATTTCCATAAGGAATATGAAATGCACCATCTCATATGCCCACGCTTATTAATCTTATTATGCTAGGTCAACAGTTTCAAACTTGAATGCCCGAATTTAAAGCTCTTTAGTACATGAAGAGGCACCTATATTAGCAGACTGATTTCAGATACTTAGACTCTGGACTTCTGACTGAGTATGAATTTTTCAGCATCTAATTTAGGTGCCTATATATGGATTTAAGGGCCTAACTTTAGGCAGCCAAGTTGGAAAATGATGGCCCTGCTAGTTATTTTTATTCAATAACACCTGCCTAATAATAGCTATCCCTTCCACTGACGTGAGAACTATATGACACACAAACTTATTTCCTTCTATGCTATTTCTAGTTTTACTAAGTATGATACTGGAGAAAATAAGAACAACCTCTAAGGAAGAGGTAAATTTGCCTGCAGCTAAGGCAATATTACTGTTTTGTGTAATATTTTATCATATAGAAAGGAACATAGGGTATCAGTTTGAGCTTGTGTTACTCTATTGGTGGACAAAGAGGAAACAGGAATCTATTGTTCTGGGTTTCGAAAAAGAGTGATACTAAATTGTAATCTTCTAAGTGAGAAAAGATATAGAAAGGTGGAAGAGCTGGTGGACAGGCTTGAAAATCAAATACAGGCCTGACACCAGTTTCAAGTGGACAAAAGCCACTGACACATTTGACGCTAAGGGCCAAATGATAAAGAGTTCTCAGCACCCAACGGCTCCCATTGCGACACTCATCCAGTGTGCTGAGTGCTGTTGAAAATCTGGCTCCACATTGCATCTTTATTTGTTGATCTCAGTTCAGAGCATATCACAAGGCTCAAAGGTTTGATACTGCCCAAAGGGCTGAGCACTTTGTGTCCAGTTCAACAAAACACTTAAGCACGTGCTGATCTTTAAGCATGTGAGCAATTTCACTGATTAAGCACCTGGGATTACTCAGGTGCTCAATTTGCAGGACCAATACCAGCATTCTTAGCACTGGGCAGACTAGAGAATTAAGTGCATACTAGAAGAGACCAAAAGCAGAAGGACGTGATTATCAAACAGCACCTCCCAAAAAGAAAATGTGTCCTATTCTATCAGGACAATAAATATAGAAATAATAAAGTTTTATATCTGCACATATACTGGGTACATAGGAAAGGATGCAACTAACAATTATTATTATTATTTTATTTACAGGCCCCTCATAATCCGAGGCCCTAAGATGTAGCTTACTTATCTTGTATATAAATCCAGCACTGTTTGGAGGAGGCTAAATTATGAGTAGGATAGTGTGAATACTAAACAGCCCACAAAATGTCGGCAGTATCATATGCCAACAGCATTTACAGTGCTTAGTTTTGATTTGTGGGATCAAATCTAACATTATTCATAGGTGAGGGGAGAAATACCCCTTTGCGCTAAGAGCGAGAACAAGGCCCAGGTACCATTTAAACCAATAGGGACTTGTAGAAACAAGTTGAATCGTTTTATCAGTACAGCTAAGATCACGGTACCTGCTGGTGGGTTTCTATTATTTGAGAATCTACTTTAAGTTGCTCTTCAACAAATTCTTCAAAAGTCTTCTGTCGTACACCAATTCCTGGTCTGATTGGTCTAGGCAAAGAATAAGGTGGCATCAATTGTAATAACTTCCCAACTATATTTCTTTATAATTATAGTACAGCTCACCTTCAGTTCAGATTTCAAAGGTAATCTGTTTTAAAAAGGGTGGGTGGCAGAGAAATGAATGGCATAACCTGACACCTGTTAACACCAGGCCATAGGAGCCCAAGCCTAGTGGGTGGAGCCAATGTCAAAAGTCAGGAATCGGAGCTGAAGGTTAGAGCTGGAATCAGGAAAGGGAGCAGGGGAGGAGCAGAATAAGGCTGCTGCCCGCCTCCACCCTTGTAAAACTTCGCCCTTGCATAATAGTCAATCAGTGATCCACCTAGTAGCAGAGACAGCTTCCTGGAACACCCTCCATGTTCATGTGGGTAATGAATGTAATATACTGCTCCTGGGTGTATCAGCAATCATGGGGATACTGCTAACTCAGGTATCCATGGATGGCATACCCTGTGGTGCTAGTCTCCCTTGGTTTGTGCTAGGAATGTTAAAAAGGGGGGGGAGGGGGATTGTAAATGTGTAACTGCTGAATTTTTCAGCAGTCACATGTTCACACATGGGGGGCGAGGGGTGGAGGTAGCTCCGCTGGAGACAGTGCTCATGGGGAGCCAGCTTTTAAGCATTTTATCCCAGTTCTTTTACAATAAACAGTTCTGTTTGTACCAGTCTTGGACTCCATCTTTTACTTCTATGAAACAGGGCAGTCTGGGTTGGACTTCAGTTACCTGGGTAGCTTAGAATACAGAGCTCTGTACAAAAGTCCTCTCCTCTCCCTGTGTTTTAAACTAAAAAGGCCTCTGGAGGTTATTACCCAGGAGTTTGAGCTGATCTGTTCTGGTGTATTGGGAAACTAGAGCAAACCCTGTGAAAAGGAATATGAAGAGGCCTATCATCGGGATTCTATTTTTCTTCTTTGGCTGATTAGCCTGCACACCCCTTTACACTCCCCAGTGTGCTAAGGGTGGCTGGCCCCTTCCCAGCATATTTCCTCCATTTGACTTTTTTTCCAGGAGGTGATTGCATGTTGTCATTGGTGTTTCTGCTCTCGAACTCGCACTTCTACCCAAGAGCTATGGATCTGTCCCACCTCCGCCCATGCACACAAGCTAATCTCATAGCAGGGGAAGGAGCTTTGAGATGGTACTCACTGATAGGTTAGTATTTGCAACTGTAAGACTTGTTGTATGCAGGGGCGCTGGAACAATTTGTGTAGTGGACATGTTGACAGCCATTAAATCAAACTCTAAACTCTCTATATAGAAATCACTTCAAGCCAGGGGGTGTGGCGTACACTGGCAGTTTCGTCTGCATCATTGTAAGTGACAAACTAAACCCTTTCCTTACCTGTCTTCCAAGTTTTTAGTCCTTGCGTTCATTCTTACACCAAAAGGGGAAAGGGGAATCTGTTCATCATTTTGCTCTTCCTCTTCTTCTTTAATGGCAGGCAAAGTTTTAGGACAAGCCTCTTCCTTTAGTGGGCTTTCATCTAAACAACAGGGAGGAAGGACATTAGGAGAAGACCTTGAGTCAAGTTTTCTATAACTTCTAGCATTTTTTTTAATATCTGAAAATGCTTCCTGGAATATTTTAACCTTAACTTAGCTGGAAGATTGAGATTCACAAAAGAGCTTAAGAATCACTAATCCTTAATGATTACAAAGGAGGACAGTGAAACTGAATTGACATGTGTTTGATTGCTAAAACTGAAATTAACTGGCTAGTGTGTATATTGGACAACATTGCTCTCTGCTGGCTAGAATTAAACCTCCTGAAGTATGTGTGCTTATGTCTCCTCCTACTGGCTGGCCTACTACATGGATGCAAGAAGAGCTGCACATAGCTTTTGTAATAGGAGGTTTTATTAAAAAACAAATAAATGAAAAAAAAACCCACCTCCCGTGTAAACTGCCCCCTCCCACCCTCCATACTGAACCAACTGGCAAGACTCACTACAACTGGTATGTTGTCTCTTTGATAAAAGCCTAATACTAGTGTCAAACAGCGGAGAATTATTCCTTTAGCTAAAGGCACAGAAGTCTATGATCAAGGAGCAGAAAAGCCCATGTTTGATACTTCTTGTTTCACACATATGACATAGCTGGCAACTAGTGTCCACTGTTTGTGGCATAAATACAGCAAGTGCTACTGAAGCCCTATAGACACACCTTGATTTTCCTCTCCAACAGACATCCCAACCCTTGTGTCAAGCCTCACTGCCCCAGTTTTGAACAATGGAGAGTATTTTGCTCCTAGAGAAAAAGCAGCTGCAAATGTTTAATGGAGGTTAATAACTAGTTTTATTTAGCTTAAATTACTTAATGTAAGTGTCTCAGAGGGATAGCTGTGTTAATCTGTAACTTTAAAAACAATGAGTAGTCATGTGGCACTTTAGAGTCTAACAAATTATATATAATATTACTACAGTAAAACCTGTGCTATCCAGCACTTAACTATCCAGAAAACTTTAGAAATTAGCAAATTTCCGAGCCGGGAAACTAGAAGGAAACTGGTGCTTTAAGCCAGGCTGCTCCACAGACGCTCCCCGCCGCCCCTGCCAGATGTGCATGCAGCACGTACCTGGGGGAGGGCCCAATGGCTGCAATGGCCCCCCCACAGCTCCAGGCCGCCCGGCTCCCCCCGCGCCTCCTGGTCTCCTCCCCCACAGGTCAGCCCCCTCGCAGCTCCATCCCCGGCAGGCTGCCCCCGCCATCTCCGCCCCCCTGGCTTCTACCCCCCGTCACCAGGCCACATCCTGCCCCACCCCATTGCTCCTGCCCCTCCCAGCAGGCCACATCACAGACCCTGTTCCTCTCTCCCTCTTTCCCCCGCCCCATAGGCCCTGCACGGCTCCCTGCCCCCACTCCCAGATACCCGGAATTTTTAGAAAACCAGCATGACCTAATCCCTAGGCAGGTACTGTGAGGCAAGGGAGGTAATATGGCCCAGTGCATAGGGTACAGGCATGTGAGCCAGGAGAGCACGGATCTAGTTCCAGTTCTGCTATTTAACTTGCTGTGTAACCCTGATCATGTCATTTAAACTCTTTGGGCTTCATCTGGCATAAATTAGCATTGCTCTAGTCACTGCCTCTGGGCCTCTAGTCATAAAGTTAAGCTGATCATAAGGCGGAGTAATCATAACCCTGTTCCTCCCAGTGGTTCTTTTATCTGTCTGTCCATTGTGGGAGATCACATCTGTGACCTCTCATTTCCTAGAAGCTGTGAATCTCTGTTGTATTTTGTTGTGCACCAGTTTGGTAAATCTGATTCTTGGTAAATAACTTACATTAAAAGCAATGAGTAGTCCTGTGGCATCTTAGAGACTAACAAATAACCTCCCTTGCCTCTCAGTACCTTGCAGTGACTAAAGCAATGCTAATTTATGCCAGATGAAGATGAAGCCCAAAGAGTTTAAATGACATGATCAGGATGGCACCTTAGAGACTAACAAATATATATGTATATATATAGTAAAAACTGACTATATATACTGTAAAACCTGAGCCAGGAGAGCACAGATCAAGTTCCAGTTCTGCTATTTGATTTGCTGTGTAACCATATTACCTCCCTTGCCTCACAGTACCTGTCTGGCTTTACAAACAGTGCCAAAATAAACTCAGATAGTAGTTACTTTAGCTCTACCATTTTCAAACTTAAAGGAAAAAATAATATAAACAATATGCAGTCTATTAGGAAAAACTCTTCATAACCCCATCCCAAAACTGCTTAGCATGTTGCTTTTCTCTCTTACAGCACTTCAATTTAGTTTTTCAGAGTGGCACAAAAGCATACACTGCTCGGATCTGTTCCTGTAATTCACCTTTCCTTGCTGTGATTTCCTCTTCTTGAGCATCTTGTCTGGAAAGTTTTTTTGTGGGGCTTCTGGCAGTTAGAGA